GAAAAAAAATGCACCACTCCTTCTTCCCTCCATGATTTCAAATAAGAAATCTATTGCCATTTGAATTGGTGTTCTCTTATAGGTAACATGTCTTTATCTCTGGCTGCTTTCCAGATTATTTTTTATTTGCCTGGATTTCAGACATTTGATCTTTGGGTTTATCCTCTTTGATAGTTACTTGTCTTTTTTATTCTCTATATTTATTTCGTTTGCCAAATTTACAGTTTTCAACCATTATCTCCTCAAATACTGATTCAGCCCAACTTTCTTAGAACTCTTATGATACCAATGTTGAACATTTTGTTATTGTCCCACATGTCTCTAAGGCTCTGCTATTTCTTTATTTTTTTGATGTACTTTTCTCTTTTGTTTTTATTGAGTGAATGCTACTGTTCTGTCCTTAAGTTCACTGATTCTATCCTTTGTCATCTGCATTGTACTTCGAGCCAATCTGGTGAGCCTGGTTTTAGTGACTATGTTTTGATTTCTATAATTTTCATTTGGCTCTTTAAAAATATATATTGTTTAGAATATTACAGATGTCTTGCTCTTTCCTCCATTCCCCGCCTCTATATGGTCCCCCGCCCCACCGGCCCCCGGCCGTCTTCATCCCCTATTGTTCGTGTCCATAGCCAATGCATAAATACATATAAGTTATTTGGTTAATCTCTTCCCTAGCTCCCCTCTTCCCTCTGAAATTCGTCAGTCTGTTCTATGTTTCCATGCCTCTGGTTCTATTTTACTCATCAGTTTATTTTGTTCATTAGATTCCTTGTTCATGTATTTGGATTTTTAGATTTAATTGTTGATAGATATGTATTTATTGACATATTTTTGTTCATATTTCTTCTTCTTCTTCTTCTTCTTCTTCTTCTTCTTCTTCTTCTTCTTCTTCTTCTTCTTCTTCTTCTTCTTCTTCTTCTTCTCCTCCTCCTCCTCCTCCTCCTCCTCCTCCTCCTCCTCCTCCTCCTCCTCCTCCTCCTCCTCCTCCACCTCCTCATCCTCCTCCTTCTTCATACCCTCCAACATTTAATGTGATACTGGTTTGTTGATGATTAACTACTTTAGCTTTTTCTTGTCTGTGAAGCTCTTTATCTGACCATCAATTCTAAGTGATAGTTTTGCTGGGTAGAAATCTTGGTTGTAGGTCCTTGCTATTCATCATTTTGAATATTTCTTGTCACTCTCTTCTGGCCTTCAAAGTTTCTTTTGAGAAATCAGTTGACTGTTGTATGGTGCTCCCTTGTAGGTAACTAAATGCTTTCTCTTGCTGCTTTTAAAATTTTTTCTTTAACCTTTGGCATTTTAATTATGATTTTTGGAGTGGGCCTCTTTGGATTCCTCTTGTTTGGGACTCTGTGCTTCCAGGACTTGTAAGTTTATTTCTTTCACCGGGTAGGGGAAGTTTTCTGTCATTATTTTTTCAAATAGGTTTTCAATATCTTGCTCTTTCTCTTCTCTTTCTGGCACCTCCATGATCTGAACATTGGTATCCTAGAGGCTCCTTATGCTATCTTCATATTTTTGGATTTCTTTTTCCTTTTGTTTTGCTCTTCTTTGTGTGTGTATTTTCTTTTTTATACCCCAAATTGCTGATTTGATTCTTGGCATACTCTTCTCCATTGTTGATTCCCGGTAAATTATTTTTCATTTCAGTTAGTGTATCCTTCATTTCTGATTGGTCCCTTTTCATGTCTTTGACATTCTCACTAATTTCTTTGAAATTTTCACTAAGTCTCTTGGAGCTCTCATTATGATCCTTGAACATTCTTATAACCATTGTTTTGAACTCTGTATCTAGTAGTTTGATTGCTTCCATTTCACTTAGGTTTTGTTTGTTTATTCGTTTGTTTTCCATGGAGATTTATTTTGTCCTTTTATTTGTGACATCTCTTTGTTTGTTTGTTTATCTGTTTTGTCTCTGTATTTTGGCTCCTTCCCTGTGTTTGCTTCTATGTATTAGGTAGAGCTGCTATGTCTCCTAGAATTTTGTAGTAGGTGTCCTTTAGAGCCCTGTTGCTCAGCCTTCCAAGTCACCTGTGTAGTCTGTGTGGAAACTGTCTTGTTGTAGTTGAACCTTGATTGCTGTTGGTGTCAGTCACTGTGAGGAATTGACCCTGTGTCACTTGGTTGTGAGGAGCAGATGTGACTACAGTGGGAAAGCTGCTGTGCAGGTGATACTCCTCTGGAACAGGACTTGCTTCAGTGGGGCTTTGGTGCTCACTGAGTCTGCCCCTTGAATGTGTTGCTTGTGGATGTGTAGAATTGTAATCTGATGTGTTCTGAAGCTGTCCACCAGGTGCACTTACTCTGGAGCCATCCTGGTGGTGCAAATTCAGCTACTGCCTATGTTCTGCCAGGGGCCACTGGTCAGGAGCTACAGAGTGATCTGCAGATGGCTACTACTTGTGTTGGTCTTGAAAGTGCTCAGGAGAGGCCAAGCTGTGAAACGATGCAGGCTTCTGCTAGTTCCAGGCCTGGGGCCTCTTATTGGGTGGTATGGGGCTATTTGTTTGAGAGATTTTAGAAAAGTCTAAACTCTGAGTCAGGACAGGTCATTCATATGGAAAGACTCTGCAAACAGCTTGGGTGAGGCTACAAATTGGGTGTTTGTGTGGGTGGTCTCAGGGAATCACCAGGGTGGAGTGAATAGTGTAAGCCAGGTTGATGGAAACTCAGATACAGCTGCTTACAGTCAGCTCTGTGAAAGGGGAAGTCTCAGCATAGGAAAAATGACCACTGTGAGCATCCCTGTGTAGGAGAAAGCCTCTCCCAGTTATTGCTCCAATGCCAGACAATCCATATCCATCCCATATATTCCTGGATCCCCACAAGCTACTGAACCAATGCTGGAGTTCAGAGTTAGTGAGTCTGAGTATGTCCCTGCACTGGACCTTTAAGAGGAACACCTAGAATTCCAGCAGTTTCCATATCCTCCAGCCATAATCCCCGCTGGTTTTTAATAGCCCAAAGTTACAGGGACTTCTCTTCCTAGCACTGGACCCCTGGGATAGGTGTATGGTGTGGGGCTGGGAACCCTTGTTCCTCATGGGAGGCTTCGCAGTTAGATATCCCTCCCGATTAAAAAAAATGCCACACATGGTTGTCAAACCAGTCCATTCCATACCTCTACCCCTCCTTCCAGTCTCAATGTGCTTTCTTCTTAAATTCCTTAGTTAGGACTTCCATTCAACCAGATTTCAGGCAGTTCTGAATGATGGTTATTCTGTATTTTAGTTCTAATTTTGAAGTTGTTGTGGGAGGCGGCAAGCACTGATTTTACCTACTCCTCCATCTTGGTTCTTCCCCCTCATTTGGTTCATTTTTATAACTTATTTTTCTTTGCTAATATTTTTAAAATATATTTTAAGAAACTTATTACTTGTTATATTATTTTAATAAAATAGCTTTTTATATTCTTGGTTAGATAATTTCAATATATATTTCAACTCAGTGTTGACATTTGTTGGTTATGTTTTCTTATTTAAATTATGGTTTTTTGGGCATTTGGTGTGATGAGAGTTTTATCATCATCATCATAATCATCATCATCATCATCATCATCATATTCTGGACATTTTGGCTATTAAGTTAGGAGATTCTCAACTCTATTTAAATGTCCAGTTTTATGAGGCAGTCATCCTAATTAGGTTTAGCACACAGGTCTTAGAGTACATTTGCAGGCTCTGGTTACACAAATTTGTCAGAACCTTGGTAGTTCTATTTGGTCAGCTTGAGTTGTCTAGTTCCACTGGAAATTACACAGATGTCTACTGATGCCACCTAAGTGGGCAGAGTTTCCCCCTCAGGCCAGGCTGTCTGGTAGGTCTAAAGGGGTCAGTAGTTTTTTAGCTTACTGAGAGATCATATTTAAGGCTGGTTACTTGAGGGGTTGCCCAACTGTCCTTGTTTCCAATCAGCTGTTTTATCTTTGTAGGGAAAGTAGTCTCCAGCCCATTGGGGATATAGTTCGCTTTCCATGGACTCTTATTGTCACTGATGCTCCCACTTGATTTCCCTTGTGATGCTGTTGGAGCTTCCATTTATTTGGCACTAAAAATTAGTTTCTGTTGCGAGGTTGTGGTTGGTAGAAGCCAGGTCTCCATTGTCTTTCACTATTGTTTGCCTCCATGTTGTTCCTTAGGACCTGGTGTTCCTAACCTGCTCTCCTTTCTCTTTATACCTTTTAGAGTAATTCATCAGTGCCTCTTGCTTAATTCTAGGTTGTATAGTTGTACTTAGTGAGATATATAATGAGCCCGGGGGAAGGTCAATGGGGAATAGAAGGAAACATATGTACTACTATTCATAATACTTTAAACAAGAAAATAAAATAAAAATAATAAAAAAAGGAGTAAAGAGAAGTATGATTTCTGTGAAAACAAGTGTTTTGGAACAGAATAGATGGTTTGAACTAATAAATATATAAAAAAATATTTAACAGACAGTAAAGCAGAGGTACCAATGAATTAGAACAGATTTTAACATCTGGTACCTTACAGGTGCTTTCCAGCTGAATGTCAGTTCTGGTTTAAATGAACTTCAACAGGTATCTGTACTGTGGAGAGCTTTTAATATGCTAATGTTCACTGTTAGTTTCTTGGAAGAAATGCAGCAGCTATAGTTTTCCCAAATTTATCTGTCCATAGAAGTGAGTCTTTTTGTTTATAATTTTTCTTGGCATTAGCATCCCATGAAAAACTTTGTGGAGGAAAGCCACTTTTATTAATATCATCTACCTCATCCAAAGTAATGTACTAGATGCAATCATTTAATTAAAAAAGTTATTTCTGAGAACCTTAAGGAGCACCTAATTCTACCTTTATTTTTAAAAAATATGATAAAATAATATATTTAAACTGCCCTGTAAACTCTTTCAGTAAATATTTAGATGTACAGCTGAAGAACTGTGTATTATGTTGTGCTGAAAATATTAAGTCTAACAGTACTGACTTTTTCTAATATTGCTATTTCACATTTTTAATACTTTCTCTTTTCAGCTTTAAGGGACAATAGGATTGAGCTGGTTCGGGCTTCTTGGCATGAACTGAGTATCAGCGTCAGTGATGTGTCTCTCTCCGATGAAGGACAGTACACCTGTTCTTTATTTACAATGCCTGTCAAGACTTCCAAGGCCTATCTCACTGTTCTTGGTAAGTTCAAGGAACAAACACAATGCATTCACAAGACTGAGAGATGTGTACTTATAAAGTACCATGATTCAAACACACACATACACACACACACACACACACACACACACACACACACACACACACACTTGATTTAAGAGAGAAAAACATCAATATGACAGAGAAACATCAAACACAGTTACCTCCTGCATGCCCCCTATTGGGGATCAAGCTGGCAACCTGGGCATGTGCCCTAACTGGGAATCAAACCAGCAAATTTTTGGTGCATGGGACAATGCTCAACCAACTAAGCCACACAGGTCAGTACTACAACATATATATATATACTAAGGATTATAATAATAGATGTAGTTTAATCTCATTTCTGCTACATTTTAACAAAAGGCATTTAAAAAATCACTTAATCACACTTCCCATTTTATAGACAAAGGGAGATATAAAGATTTCTATGACTTCTAAAAGCATGTACCCATATAATTTCTTAGCCACAAGTAGACACCAGGTTTCTTGATTCTCAATTAAATTCCTTTGTAGCAACTCATCTATGTATTGTATATGTGGTGATCCTTTCATAAAGTGATAGAATAATGAGCATAATGAGCTTAATATGTTTATAGGGTGCTCCTTCATTTTATCGTATCAGTCATTTAATATGGCCTTCTCTAATGTGTTATAGCTTTCAGATTTTACCCCTTTGTGTATTTCAGTGCATTTAAATAACCCTGACATTTCCATGTATCTTCTCACCTTTTAAACCTGTAGTTTTCTAGATTACTAAATGAAGTGCATAATGTCACTTGTGCATGCAGCTTGTAACTTCTCTAAATATTGAGCCATTTTTTTCCAAAGGTTAAAGTGACATAAAAAAGCAATGCATTCATAGAGATTCAGAGGAAATATAGTTGCATCTCAGAGCTCTCTGTGATTCCACAAACATCAGTGGCCCAATCAGCTGAAATTGCTGCAGTTTATTGAAACACACCTGGTTCTGAACAAGTTAGAGGAATTTCAAGATGGATATTTTTGTCCCTAGCTTGCCTTCCTTTTTTCATACATAAGGCCTAACATTGCATTTAAAGGAACTAACACATGCTGTTCTTTTGGGTGGGAACATTAAAAGTTAATTCAGCTAGGGAATTGGTTTTGTACATAGGAGAAGAAACTGAGACTATTTTATCAAAATATTTACAAGTTTGCCACTAAGGACAAAACATAACCACTAAAATGGAATATTTCAGGATAACAACTACTAAGTTTAATGTACTGTCCTGTAGAAAGCCACCTTGAGACACCATGAATAAGCAACTGGCTGATTTCAATTGATTAAATGGTGGGATGATACAGATTGTTTTTTAAAGCCAATAAGAAGGTGGGAAAAAACACACACAACTATTCAGCTAATTGGAGTATGATGACCTGTCATTTGTCTTTGTTGTTATTCTTTAAATGTGTATTTCTCTTACTGGTACTTTCCAACATGATTACATTTTATACTTTTATAACTAAATTAAGTAGGACAATAAAGAACTTTCAGTCTGCCTTATTGAATAATTTTAGAATAAATTTTAGTAAACCTCTACCATGATAACAGAATATTAATGCCCAAGAAATGTGGAATGTACTATTATTTAAACCACCCATGTGCTATCTCTGAATATTAGTTATCTGCTTATTGATTTGATGATTTGGACTAGCAAAGGCAATAGTGGTTAGCATTAAGAACAACACATATCAAGCTCCACAAAACTATAATTGAATTTCTAATGCAAATGAAATCAAGAGACATTTTCTACAGAATAATCAGAAAAGTAAGTATGGTTGCAATACATATAAATATTTTTGATGAATTTTATTGGACAAAATACCTTTTCTTGAATAAAATGCAGAGAGGATAATATCATTTTTAAGCTTTCAGAATTATGAAATCAGGGATGAAAGGCGCTATTTTAGTTAAATTATAATTTGGTAAAGAATAAATAAATGTGCTTTGTAAATTATTTTTCTCCAATGAAAGCAATGTTCATTCTTAAATCCCTATACTGGCAAATTTTAAGACATATTGAATGGTTATCTTTAAGATTTACAAAGTTTATTTTTACATGCAGACTTTAATTTAAACAACTACTTTGAACTGAATAAATGCTTTCAGATATATATATATTATACACACATACTCATATACATATACATGTATCTATATCCATATATCATAAGCAGTTAATGTTATTATATAGCTGTTTATTATTCTTGATGAACTTATTGCCAATTTACTTTTGTTTGTAAAAATAATAGTCATAAGAATGAACCAACCCTGGTGATGGATGTTTCATTTGTTATATTTCAGGTGTTCCTGAAAAGCCTCAAATCAGCGGATTTTCATCACCAGTTATGGAGGGAGACTTGATGCAGCTGACTTGTAAAACATCTGGTAGTAAACCCGCAGCTGATATAAGATGGTTCAAAAATGACAAAGAGATTAAAGGTAAAGAATGGAAAAGGTCCCCAAATCAAAATTAATGTGCTGAAAATAGTATGAAAAATTAAAAGCACTTTACATTTTCTTTTTGATACCACATTCATCTTCTAAGTTTAATTTAACCAAATTTACCCATTTCTTAAATAAGGTCACTTTGCAATGTATATTAATATTGTATTTATGTGCCTCATTTCCTCTCATTTAAATAGGTCTATAATAATATATAATTCATGAGAAAGTTGGAGAAATTAAGATATAAAAAAAACATGAGTTAATGTATTAAAAAGCATATAGATTTGTGTTGACAGTAGTACTAGTAAGTACTAAGTATAAGTTAGATATTTCAGAACTCATCTATAATATTTAGATTGTAAACAGAGAAACTTCACAACTTATTTCTTAAATTTGGTGGTTTCTGGAATTACAAAGTTCTGACAATAAAATTGGTTATACATCAGTAAATCTGATTCCTAGTAATTCTCAAGAGAGAAAATATAATTGACTCATTTTAGTAAAAATGCACAGTACAGTCATACCTCGGAGATACTGCAAGTTCAGTTTCAGACCACCGCAGCAAAGCTCATATCACAATCAACTAAGTCACACAATTTTATTCATATCCATTGAATATAAATGTTATGTTTACATTATATTATAGTCTATTAAGTGTGAAATAGCATTATGTTAAAAAAAAATGCCAACCATCTTCTGAGCCTTCAGTGAGTTCTCATCTTTTTGCTGGTGGAGCATCTTGCCTTATTGTTGATGGCTTCTACCTGATCTGGGTGGTGGGTGCTGAAGGCTGGGGGTTGTGGTAATTTCTTAAAATAAGACAACAGTGATTTTTTATGCACTGGTTGACCTTTTCTTTCACAATTTTTCTTAGCATGTGATGCTTTTTGATAGTATTACTCACAGTAGAACTTCTTTCAAAATTGGAATTAATCCTCTCAAAACCTACTGCTGCTTTATCAAGTAAGTTTATGTAATTTCTAATTCTTTTGTTGTTATTTCAACAGTCTTTACAGCATCTTCACCAGGAGTAGATTCCATCACAAGAAAACACTTTCTTTTCTTTGCTCATCCATAAGAAGCAACTCCTCATTTATTAAAGTTCTTTTTTCATGAGATTGCTTCGATTCAGTCATATCTTCAGGTTTTACTTCTATTCCACTTTTCTTGCCTTTTCTACCACATCTGCAACTACTTACTCCACTAAAGTCTTGAACCCCTCAAAGTCATTCATGAGGATTGCAATCAACTTCTTCCAAATTCATGTTAATGCTGATATTTAGACCTCTTCCCATGAATCAAAGATGTTCTTAATGTCATTTAGAATGGCGAATCTTTTCCAGAAGGTTTTATATTGAGTTTTCCAAGACCCATTAGAGAAATCACTATCTGTGGCAGCTATAACTGTGAATTGTATTTTTTAAATTAGCAGATTTGAAAGTCAAAATTACTCATTAGTCCATGGACTGCAAAACAAAGGTTAACAGGTGTGAAAACAGCATGAATCTAATACATCTCCATCGAAGTTATTGGGAGATCCGCTTGCATTTCAGTGAGCAACAATATTTTGAAAGAAAAATTCTACTCAGTAAGCATGAACAGTGGACTTAATATATTCAGTAAATCATGTTATAGACCAATGTGCTGTTGTCCAGGCTTTGTTGATGGATTTATATAGAGCATAGGCAGAGTAGATTAGCATGACTTTTAAGGGTCCTAGGATTTTCAAAATGATAAATTAGCATTGGCTTCTACTTACAGTTAATATCTGCAATGGCTCCTAACAAGAGAGTCAGCCTGTCCTTTGAAGCTGGTATTTTTTTTCCAATATAAGGCTATTTTGTCTACATTGAGAAATATGTTGTTTAGTGTAGCCACCTTCATTAATTACCTTAGCTAGATTTTCTATGTAACTTGTTGCAACTTCTACACCAATATTGCTGCTTCACTTTGCACTTTTATATAATAGGTGTGGATTATTTTCTTACTAGTAAACTTCATGAACCAACTTCTGCTTGCCTCAAGCTTTTCTTCTGCTACTATCTCACTTGTCCCACCCTTCATAGAATTAAAGAGAATTAGGCCTTGCTCTGGATTAGACTTTTAGCTTTAAAAACCGTTGTGGCTTTATCCAGATCACTAAACTTTTCTCTATATCAGCAATAAAGGTGCTTTCCTTCTTTATCATTCATGTGTTCACTGGAGTAGCATTTTTACTTTACTCAAGAACTTTTCCTTTGCATTCATAACTTAGCTAATCATTCAGTGCAGCAGGCCTAGTTTTTGGCCTTTCTCAGCTTTTGACATTCCTTTCTTACTGAGCTTAATCATTTCTAGCTTTTGATAAGTGAGAGATGTACAACTCTCCCTCTAACTTGTGTACTTAGAGGCCATTGCATGGTTATTAATTGTCCTAATTTCAATATTGTTATGTCTCACGGAATAAGGAGGCCCAAGAAGAGAATGAAAGAGAGATGAGGAAATGGCTAGTCAGTGGAGCAGTCAGAACACACACACAATATTTACTTATTAAGTTTGCCATCTTATGTCATGCCACAAACAATTACAATAGTGACATTGAAGATCACTGATCACAAATCACCATAACAAAGTTAATAATAATAAAAAAGTTTGAACTATTGTAAGAATTACCAAAATATGACACATAGACACAAAGTGAGCAAATGCTATTGAAAAATGACTACAATAGGTTTGCTCAACACAGGGTTGCCACAAACATTCAATTTGTAAAAACACAATATCTGCAAAGCCCAATAAAACAAAGCACAATAAAATGATGCATGCCTGTAATTTAAGCATAGCTTTATTCTTACTTCATACACCTAAATTTAAATGCACATATACACAAACACTTACATACTTTCTTTTAAGGAGGACATAAGTTTATAGGGGACTTGACAAGTAAAGTTAGTAGTGGTATTTTTTACCTCACATACAGGTATCTGGGACTTGATGTCACATGTGCATTAAAATCCATGTATAAGAATTATTTATGATGATTGTTAAAAATGTTTCCTATGTGTACAGTAATCACCTTGTTATTCTCAACGTAATCTAAGAAAAAGATTTATGCAAACTGTTGGGATTACTTTAATTTATAAGTCTAATATTTTATCTTAGATTAAAATAATTCTTATTAATGGGTATGCAACACAACAGATAAGATTGCCTACCCTACTAAGAAATTATAGGTTTATAATCCATATAGGTATTCAATTTTTGGGGGTGTTTTAATTACTCTTTCTGTATATTTCATTTCCCAAATAGGACTTATGTGTAATTTATTTCTAAACCTGACCTTTGTTTCAGATCTTCTAATAAATACATTTTATTGGATAAAATTTAGAGAACTATAATCCCCCCCCCCACGGTACCATTTAAATATCTTGATGGGTTAAGTTAAACTTTCAGGTTACTATGTAACCTTATCCTATATTCTTCTGGTGCTCAGTAGCATCCATTCAAACCTGCCTTTAGGATATGTTTGTTTAGGTGTGTGTGAACTTGGTAACTTGCTAAGATCTTTCCTAAATAGACCCTCTGCACTGCTTCCAGAATTATCTTACTATGACAAGGATCTGATTTGGCCACTTTTTCTTTATCTTTTTTAAAAATATATTTTATTGATGAAATAGCAGTATTTCATCTTTTCTTATGGCTTAGTAGTATTCCATTGCATATACATACACACACTATATCTTCTTTATCCAATCATCTGTTGAAGGACACTTTGGTTTTGGCCAACATGAATAATTTTTCAATGAACATAAAGGTGTATATATCTTTGCAAATAAATGTTTGTTAAATGTTTGGGGTATATACCCAAAGAAGGGGTTGCTGGGTTATACAGAAGCTCTATTTTTAATTTTTTGAGGTACCTCTATACTCTTTTCCACAGTGGCTGTACCCATTTACATTCCCACCAGCAATGAATGAGGGTTCCTTTTTCTCTGCAACCTCTTTAAGTTATAGCAACCTCTGTTAATTCTTGTCTTGTTGCTACTAGCTACTAGACATTCTAACAGGTATGAGGTGGTATCTCATTATAGTTTTGATTTGCATTCCCCTAATAAATAGTGAAATTGAGCATATTTTCATATATCTGTAGGCCATTTGTATGTCTTTTTGGGAGAAGTACTTGTTCAGGTCCTCTGCCCACTTTTAAATTGGATTGTTTGTTTATTTGGTGTGGAATTGTATGAGGTTTTTAAAAAATATATTTTGGGTATTCTCAGAGCTTTATTTGCAAATATCTTTTCCCACTGAGTTGGTTGCCTTTTTGTTATGTTGGTGGTTTATTTTGCTGTGTGGAAGCTTTTTAAGTTTGATATAGTACCATTCATTTATAGTTGCCTTTACTTCCCTTGTCTTTGGGGTCAGATTTATTACATCCTCTCTAAGACCAAGCTCTATAAGTTTAGTAACATATTTATTCTATGTAATTTATTGTTTCAGAACTTATATTTAGGCTAATTTTTCTGCTTAAACACTTTTAATGGAATGCCCTTACCTCCAGAATAAATTTAAAATCTGAAGTCTTTGGACTATCAGAATGCTCTAGGCCAGTGGTCGGCAAACTCATTAGTCAACAGAGCCAAATATCAACAGTACAACGATTGAAATTTCTTTTGAGGACCAAATTTTTTAAACTTAAACTATATAAGTAGGTACATTGTTATTAACTTAATTAGGGTACTCCTAAGCTGGCCTTTGCTAAAAACCTCCTCAATCTGATTGAGGTACATTCGCTGAGGTCGACCCCTTCCAACTCTCCCATCCACACTCTTCTTGTATACTTGTTTCATCTATCTCCTTTCGTTCAACCTCTCTATATGTCCAAACCATCTCAATATGCCTTTCTCAATCCTTGACACTACATCTTCTTTCACTCCACAACGTTCCCTAAAATTAACTTAATAAACTTTACTTAAAGTTTTAAGTCTTAGTTAAACTATAGGTACGTTGAATAAAAC